GACACACCCGTACGGGTTCGAAACCCGGCTGGTCACTTTCACAAGCACCATTAGTTCTTTTTCCGGCAGCGCCTGGCAAGGGGTCCGTCCCCGGAGATCCCTACCTCTAAAAATCCCGGTGACCAGCCGGGTGGCAACGAGCCGAGAGTATATCTTTTGCTAGAAAGGCTTAGCTCTAATGGGTAAGCCTTTTTCTAACATCACTTTCGCCCTGAGGAATCGGGATGACCTGGTCTTGAAATGGAGCGAATCACAAAACACGGCTTCACTGGCACCCATGGCAATTGGCCCAAACGAACAGTTCCGGTCTAGGTAGTATATCTAGCATTTGGTATGGTCCACAATCAAGTAAGACTCGCGCATGCATTCACATCTCAGGCTTTCCTCTGTATCATATGGAATTCTTGGCCAGCTACCGCAACTATAACCCACACCTAACGGCTGGAATGACATGTGTCAACAAACATTTCTCACCTTCGTCTAGAAAGAGCAGCGGGGAAAACGAGGGCCTCAAGAGCGGCGCCATTTTCGGGCGAGAGCAGGGAACGCGTGGCCAAAAGCTGGAACATGCGCAACAGCTCGGACAGCTCGGAAATAGTATCTGATGCCGCCGATCGATGGCCATGACCACCTCCGCCGCCACCGTGGTACTGTTCGACCGACACCCCCACACCCCGACGGCGAAGTTGCCCGCGGTCCCCTTCTACTCCCCGCCCTCCAGTTTCTTCTCCTCGTTTATCGCGCTCAATGTCCTCCATCCGCTGCTCAAGCCTGCGCCAGAACAGCCCCTGGCTTCCCGCAAGAGTTCGAAGCTGCTCCTCCTCGTCACCTGCCCCGTGCTGGCCGCTCCTTCCGGCAAGCCTCTCTCGGTTGCTGCTTCCGCCGGGCTGCCTGGCACCGTTTCGCTCATCGACCCCATTCTTGGCGTGGCCGGTCGCCTCCGCGAGTAGGGCCAGCGTCCGCAACAGAACCGGGGCACTGGCTGCTGCACCTAACGTGACAACGTACGTTGGACGAGACCGACATATCTCACATTTCGACGGATGTCTAGGCCATGGCCGTGTGCGTAGCTGTTGTTATGAAAGTCGTCACGACAAATTTCATAGGCTGCATCATACTGGGTTTGCCTCATACGAAGCAGTCCTCCAGAGTGAGTGCCTACCTGAAGCACGTTCAACCAATGTGCCCCAAGAAGTCGACAACAGGGGGGCACAGACATTCCGCGAATCGATAAGGGCGGGTCTGTAAATCCCAGAGCCTTTTCCCGCTTCTGTGCGAAATACATTGCACATCAAGAGGTGGTGCCATAAAAAATCGTCAGCTGGTCGGTTGTCCCCGCCTGCCCACGAAAAGCGACAAATTCAAAGTTCACACGAAATCAACGAACTGTTGTCATTAAAATACTTGGGTGTCTCACCATCGCGGTCGCGTGGTGCAATCTCGTCCTCGGCGGCATACGCTTCCAGCGCGTCGCATAGCAATGACGCGATGGCTCCGCTGTCTACTCCGGCGAGCACCTCGCAAAGAACCTGCCGCCAGGATAGGCGATGGGAGATGAAACCAGAACAGGGGAAGGAGCATAAGTTGACACAGCAGACAGAAAACGCGCAAGTCTTAGGTCGCTACATGCAACACAACTCTTCCCCCGATAGATAAACCCCATACATCTTCTTGCCCTGCTTCCGTCAACCTCAACGTTCGAATCCCCGCGCCCGATGTTCATCATTGGTGGTTCCCATCCTGACACGCTCGAGTCAGCAACTTCACCGACCTTCCAGATCTCAAAGTGCCCCCTCACGCGAACTCCGAGTGAAGGTCCAATCCGTCCCTGACACCAAGAAGGTTAGTTTACCAAAAGGTGCGTGCCCTCTCTGCAACGGCGAAGACGTGACCCAGGTTGCCGGTCAGCTCGGGCGTGCGTGTCCAGAACCTCGACAGCGTAAGTGCTGCTACCCGGCGCGGTGGGCGGACCTTGCACTGGTTTCCAATTCAGTTCCCAATTCGTCATTTCGTGCAAACCAGATGCGATCTAGTTTTTCTAGGTAAATTTCTGAGCGGGTAAGACGCACGGTCACTGCTCACCTCGGAGAGAGGGAAACTTGCGCCCTCCGTTGTATCTGCGAAGTCTATGTTCGCGCTGCCATCCTCTAGGCCTTGTCGTCGCTCGTCCGCCGCCATGATGACTGACACGGCTTTCCAAAGCTTGCGGATATCGGCGCAGAAGGTCGCTTGAGCAATTTCTCTAAGGGCTCTCTTCGCCTGCGGTGGTCAACAGGGACGGTCGCAGTTTCCCTGGACGATTTGTTTTTCCAGCGGAGACAAACGACTCATGAACCATACCGCGCGAAATAACAGACCGCCTCCAGCGTTCGTGTTCGCAATGGCGTTGCGGTCTATTCATCGGCCACCAGCGGAACACGTTCCACTATTTAGGAGCCGCGAACACACAAGGGGCGAAAAACGTCTTTCAGCAAACAAACGAACCCTGATTTGAACGTGAGTATCGGTGGTGGAGTACAAATACAAATTTTGGCTATGCAGAACGTTTGAGGTGTCATGTCGGATGCAAAGCAACGGTGGCGTCCCATGCACAAAACAAATGTGCCGATAGTCGAGAATCGCCTGCGCCCAGGCTGAGAAACCTCCGCACGAACATATCAGCCGGTGGGAATGGTCGTGTCGCCTGCATCGCAACATTCTTAAAAACCAAAATCGAGAACAGGCAACTATTGATACCACACCGCAGAGCGTCATCCTGTTATGAACAACGATATTTTTGGTCGGTGGGAGTACCAGAAAAACACACAAGATTCAACACGGTGGACCCCGCCTACCTCCGTTGCCCCTACTGCTTCCCCCTCTCCCACTCCAGGAGCGACCCTGCAACGAGCGTAGCACATGACAAGGTCCACCGGGCTGGACTCTATGCAGGGCAGGACCAAGAGGGCTCGGGCGGTATCGGCGGCTTTGCGGTGCCTCCCGCCCCCCCCAGTGGAGTTGAGAGACGCTTGTATAGTAGGTCCGCCAGTGTTGTCGCCTGCCAGGGGTTCGAGAGCCGCCAATGCGCCTTTGGCCACCTGCACACGATACAGTTTAGATGGAGGTAGGAATGAGCTCCTGCATAGCGAGGCTCTTTGAGAGGTGAACCCACGTGGAGCTGCCATGGGTGTAGGGGAAGCATCGTTGGCGAGGATCACGCTTGCGTAGAGATGGGCACAAGATCGCGATCCCGGACATGCAGTGCGCGAAGCGAAGTCAACGAAGGTGCGGGGGAAACGTCTTTGGCTGCGAAGAAACGCCATCAATGTCAAATATCCCACGACAGCGACTACTTGCCGCCGAGAGTATCGTTTCCACCCTGCTCGACACTCCCGGTGCTGCTGCCGAGCCCGCCTTATCCCCTGTGGTGTTTTCGCAAGAAGCCCCGCGTGGCTTGATTGTGCCCCCGTGAACCTCTAGGATACGAAGCAAACAGGCCAACGCTTTCGCCCGAACAGCCTTGGACCCATCAGTCAGCAGGGCCTCAGCTGCAGCCGACAGTGACGACTGGAGTGCCCCCCCCACCGCCCACGGACCCGCTGAGACCTTCGCCTTCCTTCTTTGCCCACGATTTCCCTCGCTGGCGGCACCGGCTTCTCTCGTCTCACGATGTGCATGACCGGTCGTGTGCTGTCGGGAGGTCACCGGCGTGTCCCCCTCCCCGCTCTGCCTTCCGCTGGTCGCACCATGCATCGCGCCCATTTGCGTACACGCCGCCGGCGTTCTTGCCGTAGCCGACGGACGTTTCTCTGACAGAGGACAAGCGTCTGCGTCCCCGGCATGATTGGCCGCGCCGTCTCCCCTTGGTGCAATCTCCATCTCCATCGTTTCCGTCGCTCGTGCGCCGTGTGTCACGCCGCGGCCACCGCCAGCACCACTGCCGGTGCTATCGTCGTCGGTCAACGTTTCTGCTGTATTTCGAGGCTGCTGGTGGGCAAGCACATCGCCGCTCGGTGTGCCATCGTCGAGGTCACTGGAAGTGTCGTCATCGTCATCTAGACGTTGGCGATATAACGTCGATTCCACCTCGCCTGTTGTTGCAGATGTGTTCGGCCCAGCACGGGAGGGGGGGCACGTTCAGTCGCTTGGGGTTGTTCGCCAGCATCAGATGGCCACAGAACGTTCCATCGACCCCTTAAGGCTGCAAAATGCCGTGAAAAAAAACGCATGCGTGTGACCTGGCGCCATTCCCACCTCTCACCAATGAAAGAAGCAGCTTGTGCAGCAATGTACCTCGTCACGCCCGCTCTTCCTGTGGGAACGGTGAAAAGAAAGGTACGACCTCAAGCTATCCTGCTGGCAATTCAGTTCTGTTTTCACCGATAAATTTTGCAACGCTGTCGAACGCCGAGCTCCGGACGGTCGCGTCGCCATCAGATCGGGACAAACGCAGCACCGCCGCCAGAGCTGGGTCCAGGATCGTTCCCCCGCACTGCGCCCCCAACTCCCGCCCATGCCCGAGGATTGACGCCAGAATGGCAAGAGACATTTTCCTGGCAGGGCTCGAGCTGGATTCCGTGAGGACGAGCAGGTCCTGTGTTTGTTGCCGAAATGTTTGGGCAAAGCATCAAGGGTGGAAGGACCGGCCGCGGCAGCACCGATAGCACGGTCATAACGTACGCGTGTTGGTATCGTGCGCGTTAGGGTTAGGATTACGGGTAGGGCTACGGTCGCGGTGTTTTCATTATTGCAGCAAGATTGAGGACCAGTAGGTAGCTCTTCACGTGTACCTGACCCCGCGTCGAACGTTCACAACATCACCATATTCAAGTCAGCGCCCCGGGCGCCTGCCACTTAGTGAAAGGGGGCGTGGGGGGCGTTGCCTATTTAACAGAACCATTGACGCAATTTTTCCGGCCTGTATCGATCGTCTGAACAAACTAAACCCACGCGCTTCACCCCAGGCAACAGGCTCCTCCGGTCTTGCTAATATATCCTGCACGAAAATCATCCCCCAAGTCCGAATTTGTTAGACGCATGTGGGAGGGGAGGCGCGTGAGCGTGTTCTACAGTTTACAGGCCATGCGTGCTTCGTCCCACGCTTCCAACAAATGATCAATAGGATGAATCTTGAACAAAATACGGACAACTACGAGACAACGGAAACGGCTTTTGAGGTCCTCTCTCGGTAGAGGCAGAAGACGCGGACAGTTCCGAGAGACAAACGCCAGTTTGTACCCCCGGAAGAAAACAAATGCAGGGTGGAGAGCAAGGTGGAGGCCTACATGTAGGTGACGAAAAGCGTTAATGCTGCTTCTTATTCTATCCCTCTCGTACGTAACCGCTGCCGTATACCACGCATTCCAGTCAAGGGTTGAAATGCAATGCGACGTCGAGCCACACAGGCCAAAAGCGAAAAAGAGACCATCCTCACTCAGATCATTTCCATCAACTAAATAATATTGTGCTTCCTCTTTCACCGGCGCACGCAGCAAGGGAACCTACGTTAGCTGGCAGAGGACACAGCAATGTTTGCTCACAAACCTTGGCGAATACCAGAGCGTACTCAGGTAGGGTTGAGAATGCGTTCACCAGGAAGGATATCAAATGCGCCGGCGGCCCCTTGGCCCCGCGCCTCCCGCCCTTGGTCACCCCAGACGTGACCACCTCAGCCACCACGTGGTGCAGCAGGTCTTGGGCACACACATGCAGTTCGATCAGGTAAGCAGGGTGTGGAACAGCCACGGCACACGGGACAACGGCATTAAAAAATCCTGTCAACGTAAGATCGTGGTGGAATCGATACCAACGGGGCCTCTCTGCTTAAACTCTACCCTATCGGGGCCATCCAAAGATCAAGGAACTACTGGAAGTGTCCAAGCGAAAGGATGGAGGGAGTTATCCTGAGGACAGGCGGACGAAGGCGTTCGGCATCAAACAAGCAACCAAATCAGTCCGACCTGGCATTGCGATGTGTTTACCGCTTTTAGATCGAATTTAAAAAAATGCCGGATTTACGAAGAGTTGAAAGGCTAGGCTGACTGACACAAATGCGTGGTTAGCAGAGTGAACGGACAACTACCAGCAAATCACGGTATTTTCTACACCGAAGTCACTACGATGCCTCACGTATCTACAAATGCCCAAGAGCATCTTCTGTTACGCCAGACACCTCGCCGAAACGCAGCGGCGATTGTGTCCGAGTCCAAAAGTAGCGGCTGATCCTTCACCCGCAAGCCTCTCGGAAATACCATGCATTAACAACGACCCGAAGCGCATATTTCAACCATACCAGCAGCGGAATCCACTTACTACCCCCGGTGGGGTGCGGCAACCAAACAGAAAGTTCTCACCGATAACTGCATTCTTCGATGTGTCATTGCTGCGAATGCTTCCACCACCGCCGCCTTCGTCTGCCTTCCGTATGATTCGCTGAAGGATTTCCAGGGTAAGGTCGGTCGCCGCAGGGCCGGTTTCTTTGGCCCGAAGGATAGGCAGCAGCGCGGAGGGAGGCACAGGGCCGGAGGCGGCCTCGGCAAGGGCGTGCACAAGGTGCTGCCTATAGCCTTTCCTCTAATGCATTGAGTTCATAAGTACGGGCGCAAGTGTCGAGCGTGGGAGGGAGAGGGGTGATGCATGATGGCTAATCGCCGGATGAAGCTAGAAACTGCGGGGTGAGTAGAAATGAAATTGTGAGATTCCTCCCGGGTTCGAAGAAGCAGAGGGTGGGGTAGCCTTGACCCAACGCGCACGTAGGAAACAAGCACAGGCCATCAATGAGATCGATTATGACGGGAACAACTTGAAGAATGGTAACATCAGCCTCTACACTGACAACGATAACGAAAACAACGGCAACGACGACATCTCCACGAGGGATACAAAGGTGGATTGTTTTCGGAGTAAAAGTTTGCCGATGGTGCTCTCCGTCCCTCTGCATCCATTCCTGTGGGTGTACGCATAAGAAGACAACATCATTTTCGCGCATCACATGGGCTGTGTGGGGGTGTGAAAAAATAGGAAAAACGCACCCGCAGGGAGGCATGTACTGGGGATTTACGATTCTTTGCCACACCTTCTTGGCGAAACCGGGCTGAGCCACGAGCGGTAGCAGAACTGCCCGCACAGTGCGGTGCAGACCTGGAGTCAGCGACGATAAGATGCCCCGCACACCCGCCAGCACCTTGTCCTGAGAGCCGAGGAGAGCCTCTTGCTCTTTGTCGGGTCTGCAATATGGGCAATGCGATTCGTAGTTGACAGAGTGCTAGGAGAGAACCCCGATACCCTTTCAAGGTTGCGCCTTCTTTTATTTGCCATTGCACGCGCTAGGCTGTTGAGCGAAAATGGGGTGGGTTACTTAAACACGCTACAACGACGGCGGTTAGCGTCGGTAGATTTCAGAAGGACAGGTTTTACCCGTTGGAAGAAATAACGTCTCCAACCAGCCTCAAACTTGGCGGGGTCATGTTCAAAGAGTAGGCTACTGTAGACGCGATGGTATCACAAATGAAGAGTGTGTCACAGCACACGGACTGGACCGTGGACACGGCACCACTTTGTTGCTCGCAGGCGACAAGGACAACTATGTATATGGCATGCAACTCCTACGTCTCCATACATCCAAACGACCCGGTACTTATTCCCAGGACCAAGCCCACAACACGCAGAAGCTTCGGTTTCTCGTCGAACGCGAAACAACAGTTTACATCATACCGCCAACCAATATTCTATGATGTGCCATGGCCATTACTCGCCTTGTGCTGCATGCCGTGGTGAAGAGGGCGGCTGCATCTAGCCCTTCAGAGCGTGGTAGCGAATGAAGCCGGCGGAGAAAGCCACCACGGAGGGTTGCAGTAGACGGAAAAGAGATAGGATGGTTGGGCAGAACACAGGCCTCACAATGGATTCACTCGTCGGATTCACTCCGCTCGCGCATTTCCCAATGATGCACATACACTATTGAAGAAATGACATGTCGTGCAACGGATATTCAGGAAACGCACCTCCCTCCCTATCCACAGACTTCAACCCGAGCCTCAAAACAATAGGTACAGTAAATCGTTGTCTCTCCGGTACCACCATTATTCCAATCGAAGTTTATCGTAGACGATGCGTCTACCTCGACACAGGTGTAATCGTTACTTGTAGTCTATGTCCGACAACACGAAACGATTAGACGCAGGTATGAATGCAACACGCGTCGGTGTGAAAGAATCACGCAGCCAGCGAGAAACGTGTACGTTATCTTGACGTTAGGATTGGTTCATTTGCCATAGAACGAGCGTTTGCACATATGTTTCGCATCCTGTACGTTTCAGTTTCTAAAGAGAAGGTCTACATCCCGACAGTATGATGAAAATCCAGTATCCTCCGCAAGGTCTACGTGACCCGTGTCTCTCTATTTCATGGATAAAGGTGGATAGAAGAGCTGCAAAACTTGGAGGACTTCTTAAAACCTAGGATAAACGTCGAATCATAGAAACGCAACCCACTCCCCGCAAAGGCCGTCTGTATGTAGACTATACTGCAGCTGCCGTCGACAATGTAGTCTACATAGTGAGTTTGAGGCTTGCGGGGTTCTGTTGTCTCCATCAGTATTCACCTACTTCACGCAGGTCCGCCTCGCCAGGGAGGGCAAGCTCGATTTGGCGCCCGATTTCCCGAAGATCATCAACTGAAGAAACACGAAGCACACCACGAGGCGACACAGCAAAGCAGCAGATGGAGTGAACAAGTGGACACCTGGTTGCACGGGTTGGCTCGCGCAAGCAAACATAACAAACCGATATTTTTCAATTTTGAATTAAGGACAAGAGTGACTCTTTTTCCAAGCACACATCTACGCATGCAAATGCATACGTAGTCTAGATCGAAGGCGCGTAAGATTGATGGAAGGCTTCGTCCTCGACAACCTGCATAGGATACGGAGCACAGAGGTATGCGACGGATAGAGAGAGAGCGGACAGACAAAATGCGGGGGGAAAGCAGGCTCCCTCGGTGGACAATGACTACAACAAGCTGTTGATGCTTACCGCTGAGGTTATCCGCCCGAGTTCTCAGAGCCTCGACTTGTTGACCAAGGGAAGAGGAAGAAACCAGGTGCCGTGTATTGCTGGCAGCGCTCCTTCGTGAGCCTACTCTTGTAGACCGCTTCGGTTTCATGGAACACAACACGTGATACTTGTAGGCGCAGCAATGTTGCGCAGAAGAACACAAGGCCCCACCGCTAGAAAAAAAAAAAAGAGTAGTCGGGTTTTCGAAGAGAGTGGAGGGGTACAATACTACTGTACACATAAATTTAGCACCTTCCGGCCACCGAGGTCGCTTCTGTGTTCAGCGTTCAGCGCACCGGGAAGAGGAAGAGTCGCGCTTTTTCGCCAAATTAGGAGTGCATCAAATGCATGTGTTCCGCCCCTGGCTTGTGCTAGAGAAGCTGGTTACATCTCTCTACATCTCGCGATGCCTTGAGTATTGTCCCTCCTCCTGTGGGTACTCCCTCACTGGCCCCGGGTCTCGAGTGCCTTCTTCAACCCATTTTTTTCTTCCCGATCACAGACATGCACAGGGTTAGCCACAAAGCTCCCGCAGACACTTGGTACTGAGGCAGTACGTGCACAATGTATGATGACGCTCTCCGTCCAGAGCATGCGTGCGATGTCAAGAGTTCGGAGCACAGCGAGCCAGATGTGGGAAACAAGGAAACAACTCAGGCTCTGCCTCCCTCGATCAACCGTATTTTAACCCGCACCAAACAAAGCAGCAGCTGCCATGCTGCCATCGACTGGTGCGGGCTGCTGGGCATCCGCTAGAGCCTTGACCGATCTGTCTCTCTTTCAAGCTCCGAGGCAACCAGCATGATGTGAACCTCTCCGCAGAAGACACTTGCGGCACGCAACGCATCAAGGGCTTGTCGGAGACAAGGGTCTAGCCGGCGTGATGTTAGCCACGGTTCAAAGACTCAAAATTGTCGAAGGTACAGCAAGCTGTTTGGCTTCCACGCTAGTATTAGAGAGGGTCACCTCTGTCAATTTGATCATCACCTACGGTAGCATGGTCGCATAACCCGCTGCTGGCAACTTTACTTCTGCTGCTATCGAGCCAGCTTGACGGTTGTTTTTTGGTTGCCAGTAATTTGTGTCCTCTCGTCATTGCACCTTGATGACTGGCCCAATCCGCCGCATCTGTTCGTTGAATTGCGCGCGCGCACTCTTGTCTGCAGTCTGCAGGCTTTATGTTAGGGTCCCCTGGCACCACACATCCCCGAAACCTCCGCGACCATCCCCCCGGTGTAGACATATAACCCCCGACGACAGACCACTTCGGCTTATCGACGATGATGAACGGGCAAGTGAAGAGCTGTCTCACGGCGGTGATCATGCTGCTGGCGGCGGCAATCCGGGTGGGGTGTGCGTAATGTACCCGTTTTGTTTCCTCTCGCGGTGACAGCTGGTTTGCTGTGTTTTGAGGTTTGGCCACCGTAGCGCGCCGCTGAGCACTCCTTCACGCAATCCACCTGAAAAGGGGTACGTCGTACCTTAGCTAAGGATGTCATGTTCGTTTGCAAAGGCACGCGGGCGCAAGCACCTCCGCGTGGGTGGCGAATCTGCGTGAACAGCTTGCATGAATCTTGTTCAACATTCAATCCGCCGCCTACGTCAGGTCGCTCTCTCCTGCTCCCTGTTGGCTCGTTGCTTAAGATGCTCCCCATTGTTTGTGTTTGCGTGCCATGACGCCAGGCTGACGGGTTCGTGTGTCCAACCGGCCGAGTGGTGTCGGGGAGGAGCGCGGTGTCCATGTCAAGCTTGACTCAGGCGAGTTTCGATGCGAAGAGTTTCTTGCAGACAAGATACAAATACAACGACGTGGAGGAGATATTCTTCCAAACATGTTGGACCAGTTTACCCCACCAGGAGCAACACGAGGCGTGTTCCGCACGCAGCCATTCCCGCCTGCAGAAGCGTCCCACGCTGGTGGACCACACTACTGTGCTTCCTATTATCACGCAGGAGGGACACACGCTAGCTCCCGAGCTTAATCCATCCTGTCTACTTTAGCAGTGCTGTAGGTCCCAACGGCAACGAAAAATTGCAGGGTCCGCCGCTGTCCATTTATGTTGGTGACGACTGCATGCTAGCGGGTCGACGGGTGTGCACAGGATTTCGCGTCGACGCCCTGGGATTTCATAGCCACTGCTAATGCTGTCTGCAGGCCACCACCCGTTAAACCTCTTGTCTGTATGTAGTCATTGAATCGTGTGGATGTAACCGCGCGTATTAGACGTAAACAGGCAACGAAAGATAAACGAGTGTCGCTGTGTCGCTGCTGTTTTGCTGTTCGAACAGGGTCAAAATTATGACCCACCGACGGAAGGAAACATATGTAATATCCGGCTTTCAAATTTTCATGTCGGCTTTTCGCTGTTCGCGCGCAAATCAACGCCATACACGCACCCTGACGTTGGAGTCGACTCGCGGAGAACGCTGCATGAATGCTTGGCACAGCAGTTCCAACGTTAGCGACGCTTTCTGCTAGCATCTAGCAGTCAGGCCGCGTGGGGTTGGTGACTACAGCAGTCTTGGTCTTACACAAGGGGCCCTCCATGTCGAAACCGTGGAACACACCAGCCCCCCCCCCCCCCCCCCCC